GTCTTACTTACATGACTAGAGTGATTAACCTCGTCATCCGGGCAGTTGATTAGGGCGGTCGTCAACGGGCCGCAGCGCGTGCCAGGAACTATTTGCTTTTCCAGGCTAATTTAGTCATTTTTTTCCACCTTGTGAAGATAAGGAGCTGCTAATCTGGGAAAAAGTAGCCAAAACAGTGAAAAGTTGGAAAAAATGACTAAATTAGCCTGGAAAAAGCAAATAGTTCCTGGCACGCGCTGCGGCCCGTTGACGACCGCCCTAATCAACTGCCCGGATGACGAGGGTACCTGCGTGCGAGAAACCTGTGAGATTAGCGCCGCGAGTTAACATAGCTTAGTGGCTGAACCCGTAGCCGTGACCGTACTCTCAGAGACCATATTTATTGTCGTGTCCTAGACGGACTTTCAAAAAATTTACGAAATGTCACCACCGCTATGACATAACCATAGCGAGCACGCGCCGATCACGAACACGCGGTATTTGCGAGTGCCGCGCGCGACGCCGCGTGACCCGTCTTGTGCCCCGCTTTTAAAGTTAATATCACTGCAATCTGTCCGGTCACAATCAGCGCAACCTGCGGCATTGCCACCACTGCTGTTTTCCTCCTGACTCCATCACTCCCCGAACGCCATTGGTAGAGCAATGCAGCCGCAGGCCGCAGGCGGGCTCAGCCGCGTTAAGCTCGCCGCCCCCGACGAATTGTAAGATGTTACAAACTATACGTTCTCCGTTCGGCTGACCTGACCCAGGGTACAGCATCGTTGTGGGAAGCACATAGAGTGAGGGGAAGGTCGTCCTTTTTCGCTGGGGAGGGGAGGTCGTATTGTGGTTGTTGGGAGAGGGGGAGTCGTACATGGTTTTCAAAGTTGTCGTGTTGTTGAATTTCGCGTGATTTTTCCTTTTCATGTGGGCTATTTCATATGTGGCTGTATACCCCTCCCTCCTCCCGCTCAACGGAAAATTTTTCAGTGAGAAACTGGTATAAGGCTGGGAACTTGCAGGAAAGTGATAAGTAGGTGAAGTAGGTGGTTTGGGGAAGGGGCGGGAGGATCATACCGAGACCCTCCCTCGAAGGGGGGGGGGGAGTCGTACCGACACCACCATTTACACATCACGATGCTGTACCATGCTTCGCCGAGGATCGGCTGCAGTAGCGTGCTACTGTCATCGAATCAACCAATTTGTACCCTTCGCCTGTGAACCACTTGCCCTCGATACTTCTTCAGAACAACTCGATGGAAACAAGGTATGAAATTCTTTTAATACAAGAACCGGTCTTATACATATTCATACAAATTATTAGATCAGAATGAGAAAATATGAAAGTACGAGTGACATTAGCATCTAAGTGATTACAAGAGGTACAATAAATATGTATAGGAAATGTTACCAATAACCGTCAATATGGCGACTGAAATATAATGACCACCGAATAAGTACTAAGTCGGAACTCATTCACGCGGGTAAAATCCAATGTTTACATCGACTAACAAAAGGCAAAACTGAAGGGATGAAATTATTCGAGAAGAAGGTGAACTATACAAGACTATGCCTAATTATCAGCTTTCAGACCGGTATCGATCGAAACTATCGGGTTTGTGAAATCGCGAGAAAACTGAATGGAAGCGCATTTACAGTTAATGCCAGTTACTGGAGTTGAACTTTGTGCGGAATCACGGGTGAAGCCAGTGGCGGGGGCTAGTGCACAGGACTACGTCACGTCCGTTCTCGTCCGCGCCTTCGGCGTTCCTTACTAAACACAGTTTCGGAAGAAGGGCGTAGACGAGCAGGGAACTGCCACGGCTACAGACTCCTGCAGCGTGAATCCACTGCCGCTAACTCGCGCTCAAGCTATCTAAGGAAATGCTTCTCAATTTCGATAGTCCTAGCCTACTAAATAATTATCCAATTATCACATTATTAATATTTATTCTACACTGGGCAGATCTTGAAGGCACTAAACTAGCACTGGCTATCTGTCTTTATCTACCTTTAGGCACCTCTTACAACCACTTTGACATGCGACTTTTCGTCTAAACTTTGCCTGGCACTTGATATGTGAGAGAGATGCACAAGAGGCACATTTATGAACTTTTTCCATTTGGAACGGAAAAAGTAACTCCTTGTCGTCTTCACAGTAGACGCAGGTGGCAGCGAACTGGCGACAGTGCTGAAAGAATAGTTATGGTGAGTATATAAACGAAAAAAAACGCAATTTAGGTCGTCAAAATTCGACAAAAATTCCACTAACAACAGGTTGTTAGTTGATTATACAGAGTCTAAACTCGCAGTACTAGTCGTGGACACGGGCGTGTCCACGACCAGTACTAGGCGCAGCCGTGATAACAGTGTAATATTGCCCCGTTTCCGGTTAATTATGGCACGCCAGGGCTATGTTAAATAATTTTGCCAAATACGGCTCCTTTCCCTTTTTAGGAGCCGATGAGGTGTCTGGAAAAGGGGCGGATGAGGTGTCTAGAAAAGGCGCGGATGAGGTGCCGAGGAAAGGGGGCGAACTTGAAAAAAATACTCTCATCAACAAGGCATGCCCTGCCTAATTGTAAGACTCCAACCTTACGCAGCCGTCGCCACGCTCAAACTGAGCCATAAACACTCGCCCTCCAGCGCAACGATATGTAATTGGACAGAAATCCCTGACTACGAGCAAACTAAGCCCCTTGTGCACTTGTGGCAGACAATGTGCTGGATGTGGAGCAGAGCAATAATTTGAGCCTCACCGACGGAAAGGCACAGTGCCTGGAGTGTGTGTTCACACCTCGCGATACTATCGCGCGATCTAAACGTTCGAGCGACTCGTTGGCCCATTCCGGACCATGAAGTAAGACGCGTTCTCATCACGTTGCTCAAGTTGTGAGCCAACACCATTCAAGTGGGCGAGGAACCGTTGCCTCGCCTCCTGATAAACGCACCCATTGCTCCTCATCGTAACAAAATCGAAACTTCATCCGAAAATACCAGAATTTACTTCATAGTAACAAAAAGAATACCTCACAGACTTCTATATGACATCTGGCAAAATGGGCTATTGGTTCGAGAAGTGAACTCATGTCCTTATTATGCACCCGTATAAGATCCGACAGAGAGAATAGGTCCTGTGTGTGAAGTAGGTGCTGTTCCAGAGAAGTGAACAGCGTTCGAAGGCTGAAATAAGATCACAACATCAGAAAGCCATACCCATCAACGGGAAAAGATCGGTAAAATGCTCTCAAAGAGAGGTAAAACATATCAGTACAAAAGATAGTGTGAATCAAGAAGCTATCTCTTCCTTTATCAACAGCTAGAAAAAGAACGGAAGCTCGAAGGTAAACTTTGATGTTGCTTCGTTTGTAGGAAAAACAAATGTTCGAAACCGGCTTTTAGCGCACTCCCGTTTGGAGGGCGCCGCAGATCATGTAAATGAATGTAATTTCCTGTAACTTGAAAGGATAATTCGCAGCACCTAGAAGCTTCATGAATATCACGAGCCAGCCAAGTGGACCCCTATTCTTTTTTGGCATGCATCGCCAAAAGATGATTCGACCGCCCGTGCGATTGGTTAGCCGCCTCGCAAAATCTCGGCACGTTTTGAAACCCCAGCGAGGGGTCGTATTTTTTCGATAAGCGGAGGATTCGCGCTTTGCTTTTGAGCATGAATATGTTTTTCGTTGTACACTTTCGTTTTGCGCTTTTCCTGCTTCAGCTGCCCTAAGCCTTATACTGCCCCCCCCGCTCGATGGTAGCTTTTTTTGCGAAAAAAGGGGCAGGAATTAGGGAGAATTCACGTAAAACTGATGGGGGATGGGAAAGGGGAAAGGTGGTATCAGAGATATGTTGACGGGGTTGTATTTTGCGAAATATTTTCCCAACGGGAGGATGTGCCCTGCGCACAATATAGGCCTTCAATGTTGTCAACAATATTTGGGTTCCAACAATATTTGGGCTCCTGTCCTGAGAGTAGAGGGAATGAACCCGAAGGAACGGCAAACTCTATCTCCTCAGGGAGGTTCCGTCCCTTTCCGACTCCTAGAAAATCTGTTCTTTTTTTCAACGGTAGGAATGAAAATTCACCCGAACCCATGAGTATTTGACGTCACAGTGATCACGACAATCAGCAGCGCTTTTGACGGTAGCTCACCAATATTTAGGAGCGGATGGCGCGTACGTGACAACATTTAGAATGCTTCTTTAGTCGCTCAGTGTGGATTTCAGACCACATGGCCCCTACTCACTGTACGTACACTCCGTGTCCCGGATTAGGAAGGTGTGGCTCCCACTCTTCATTTTGAACCCGTATGGTGTTTCGCTTTTGGTGGCGAATCTTCGAAGTTTGGGTCATATACTAATCATGTTTGCTTCAGCATAAAGAGGATGATAGTCGTCTCAAATTGGTGATTATTTTGAAAAACAACGCCGGGGGTTCTTACGCCATGTTCAAGAAAACGTACGCCCTCTTCCAAATTTGGGATATAGTGTATATGTGTACTCATGCAAATTCCAGACTAGTAGAAAACCAGAACGCAACGTAGATCAAAGCCTGTACAGTAGTAAGGAAAAATCGGTAATACTGGAAACACTTACTGTCCGATTTTCGTCTCTGTATTCTCGGCATCAGGGCATCCTTTGACAAAATCCCACATATATGAAAGTTTCTCTCGTAACACAATCACATGCTTGAGTACCCGTATTTTTTCGACCTAAAACCAAGTCGACTAGTTCGCCTAATTTGAGCGCTTACAACTATTACAATTACCACTAACCATTTGTGGAGCGACAACGTTCACATGAATTGCAGGCACATCACGAACTTCTAATAAAAAATGTAAGGCAAGATCACAAACAGGAAACTCGCTGAAAAGATTGCTCTCACATCCAAGGAAGTTGGAAAAAAAATAGAAAAATTACGCATATGAATATGTAGCAATATGACGCATTTTTATAAATAGTTCCTGCGATCACGGTAAATCCGGTGAGGAGTTCTTTAGAACATGGGAATCTGACCTTCTACGCCACATCTTCAAAATCCTATTGCTGGTGCTAACCTACAATAGTTTGAGCGAATCCACGCGGCAGCGCGTCGACATCTCCTCCCGCTTTTGCGCCACTAGGGAAGCGGAGACGATGAGACTCTTTTTCGGCATGGTCTCATAAAGGAGACATACAGTCTTCTTCGCTGTGGACTGTGAGGCGCTTCAGGCCGGGTTTAGCGGGCCTCTAGCTTTTTCCCCACCAGTTGTTGAAGCGGGTAAGCGACAACAATTCGTGGAAGACGAGTGATGCGAAAGACATGGTACAGTCATCGTTTGCAGAAAAAAAAAGAATGACGCATAAACCCCATTCTCTGACACGCCCCATCATCCGTAGCGAATGATACTGTGGTCGCGCCGCCGCTCTGCCCCGCTCTTTTACGTTAGCCCAACTTTTTTTCAAAATCGAGAGAATTCAGTGCTGAGCTGGATGAGAAAAAGTGATTGGTCAAAGGAATGGAGATTTCGACTTAAACCTAAACAGCGAAGGATCTCGTGAGTGTGTGTACCAATTTTGAAATGACTCCAGTATGTTCTGGGCCGGAATGCCCACCTTACTCGGGAAGCACAGAAACCTTTTTTGGAAAAAAAATGAAAAGTGAACCATGGCCAACCCTTTATTGTTATGTGAGTGGTTGAAGAGAGAATGCCCAGCGAGCTTCAAACAAGATATCGTTCCCCACAAAGGAATCGGTTCACGCACCCAGGAGTTCTTTCCATCCTCAGGTTTTTGCCTAAATCTTCACCCCTCGAAAATAACAGAACAAAAACGACATAAAAATAGCACGGCAGCTTAATAATTTCTGCTTGCAAAATGGATATAACGTGAGAACCTACTTAAAATTCCACGTATGGAGTATTCTAGCAGGAATTATTGATTTTGAACCCTGATGACAGCATTGACAGAAGACTTTCCCATAATAATCACAGTACCTGTAACAGTGCTCTGGGTCTGTGAAAGACTCTTGAGAAGCGGTCCGGAATCAAGAAAATCCACTCACTTGACCCGCTTTATGTACTCATTTTCAATGCGAATACCGCATCCAAAGCACCGATAATTCTGAGCTTCAAGTAGCACCTTCACGCTGGAAAACATGCTGTAAAGAATCTCGTTCCGACCACGATTCATAAGAAAAGAACAACAAGAAGCAGAATGTCCAAGAATGACCATAGTGCCTTGATTACTCAATCGAACCTTTCAGACTTCCATAGCGTATAAATCCACATTTCTCGAGGAGGAGACCAATCGGATTCTGTTCCCGACGAATTTTCCTGATTTACCTCCTCACTGGTGCTATGTGAAGTACTGGGCAACGACAAAAGCTGGAAACCAAGTACATGTAAAAGGAAAGTATTCAAGATGCTACAAAAACAAGATAACGACTTGACAAAAAAAAACTGTTTAGAATAACCAATAACGACAATAGGTGAGGAAGGCGCAGTTGACGACGGGGGGGGGGCATTTTGCACTTTCGCTACTTCTCATAGAAGTGGACAGGATCATGATGGCTAGATGAGCTTGCTCCAGCTTCACAAGAGTTCACAGGTTTCGCCAGAGTGAGACTTGTAAACCGGAACTAGGGAAGCAATAATAGTACAAGAATGCCCCCCTTCGAAAAATTGCGCCGATGAGAAAGATGAGGTGGTACAAGCCACAGTCGAGCTTCAGCTTCTTCTCAAAATAAAAAAAAAGAAAAGGAAAAGTAAAGGAAGGATAAAAAAGAACGAATTAAAAATCATTTTTTTTAGACAGGCAACGGTTTGAATTTGGAAAAACTTTCGGCTAAATAGACTTCTTCGAGTTTATTCGCGCTTGTCATAATGAACATCTTTGACAACTACTATTGCTTCTCATCACATTGTCCACAATATGACGCGTATGAGGGTAAGAAGCGGCGGGGGGGGGGAAAGGATGACGTCAATGTACCAGAAGATAAGCAGTTTGCCGGACGGCGCTAAGGTGTCCCGGTGGCGTTAGAAAAAGATAAATCAAACAATGCCCTCCCCCCAAGAAGCGATCCCCTATCGAGCGAGTAAATACGACGCCTTTCAGAACCATCACGTAGGATAGGCTCTGTTTCAGATTCACGACACCAGCAGTAGAAATTTCCTAACGAAACAACTGTATACATTGAGCCTAAGGCTTGCGTTCATACCATGCACTCGCTCGATCAAGTCGACGATTTTACGAAAGCGAACGAAAAGAGGCGGAAACCGACGAGTGTGGTGGATTAGTAGCTGCCGAAAGATTGTATACGTATCGATCCGACGTAACGGACGAAACCGACGATTTCGACGAAAGCGACGAAAGAGGCGAAAGCGACGAAAGGGGCGAAACCGACGAAAGGGCGAAAGTGGCGAAAGCGGCGACTACTTCGCGAACATTAGATACGTATCGATTATCGAAAACGACGAAACTGACGATTTCGGCGACTGTGCCAAGAATTAGCTTTTCGTAGATGGTTTTTCCCCACAACTTTTTTCACTTTTTTTTAATTTATTTCCTTTTCTGTTGTAAACATTTTCCCTATCTCCTTTCATCCTCTTGAGTGGCTTACAACTATCTTTCATTCGACAGATTTACCATGACATCGATTCCACGTGGCTTACGTGGAATCGATGTGGTTCCCAGTATATACAGGTTGGAAGGGAAGTCCTGTCAGTGTTTTTTGAAAATCTTACAGTTTTTGATTCTCGATGCTCGTACATAACGTATACATATCTTGTTTGTGTCACTCTAATTTCGCTGCTAGATTTGCGCTTCAAGTACGCCGATGAGTCATCACCAGCACCCTTTTTTGCAATGCACTAATTCTTATTCAGGTCGTGAAGGAGGTCCCGTGCTTGGAGAGCTCGCGAATCTAATAAAAGGCACCTATTCCTCAGGTACATTAATTTTTCATACTTTAAGGAGATAGGGGAAAACTTTTTACAAACCAATGAAAAGGAAATAAATTAAAAAAAAGTTGTGGGGAAAACCATCTACGAAAAGCTAATTCTTGGCACAGTCGCCGAAATCGTCAGTTTCGTCGTTTTCGATAATCGATACGTATCTAATGTTCGCGAAGTAGTCGTCGGTTTCGTCGGTTTCGCCCCTTTCGTCGCTTTCGTCGAAATCGTCGGTTTCGTCCGTTACGTCGGATCGATACGTATACAATCTTCGGGAACTAGTCGTCGCTTTCGCTCTCCGTCGAATCGTCGCTTCGTTGGTTCGTTTCGTTACGTCGGATTATAGTATGACAATCTTTCGGAACTAGTCGTCGCTTGTCGGTTCCTGCGTTGAGTCGATCGAATACATGTATTCTTCGCGAACTAGTCGTCGAAATCGATGAAATCGTCGACGTTGACGACTCGTCGCACAGTATGAACGCAGCCTCAGAGGCTAGTCCCAAGAAAAAAAATGGGTGATGCCATTCCGAATCTACTGAAAAGATTAATGTTGGGCTCGATCGATTTCTGTGTGCGTCGCACACTGAGTAGTCTTAAGACGACATAATGTATAATGGTTTCGAGGCTAGCCGACAAATGGGTCCATGGTTTTACCCCCTATACAAGTTACACACCAGTCAACCAATCCGAGTAGATGGAACACCAATCAACCAATTTCGAGTAGATGGAAAACATGGAAGTCGTGAGCAGGAACCGAGCCGGAATTTCATGTTTGGGAACCAGGAGAAATAAGTAGGCTATTCTTTGCTATTCCACACCATCTTCACTTTCTTCAGTCGCCTCGGAATCTGTCTGTTTCCAGAATATCACAGATCTTTATTGAAGTTAGCAGCAAGTCCAAACAGACGTCCTACAAAGGGCGACGTTAGTTGTGCCCTACAAAGGGCACGTCGTTAGTTGTGCAGCGAGCGTGGGTGGTATCTGATTGCTGGAGGGAGCGGGCATGTCGTTGTTGGGGATCCCTCATGAGCCGTGAGCAAGGGTCGTATCAGGTCGCTGGGGGAGCAGATCATACCGTACGTTCAGGATCTCAGCGAGGAAATCATATTTGGACACAGGCTGGAGGGGAACGTATTCGTCTTTGGGCAGAATGTTTTCTTTTGCTGATGTTTCTCAGTTTTCCCGCTTCACGCGCGGACGGTAGGAGAATAAAAGAAGATGCTAGGGAGGATTGAGAAGCGAGAAACGTTGAAGGAGTCGTACCCACTGCAGGACTTGCATGCACTGGCCCCTGATTAATTAGACCCCTACTCGTACTCTGAAAGAACTCCCTCCGCACCGATTTGTCCTATTGGCAAACTAATGGAAAGGCCAAAGAGCTCAAAATAAAACAGACACTTGCCTTGTCCGTGTTTCGTACAAGCTCATCCATCCATTGCGAGACTCGTTCATCACGTAAAGTTTCTCTATTCACGAAGCTGAAATTCCATTGTATTTGAAGAGCATGTTTACCTCAATTCATCTTTCCACCGCCTTTGTGCCGGTGCGTCTCTGGGAGCTATAAAGCCAAGAAGAACAAAAAATGTATCCCTGATTTTTCAACATCGTGACAACCATTTCATATTTTGGATGCACATAAATTTTGAATATATAACAAATGAAAGTTGTAAAAAATGGATCAATATAAACGACATATGTACCTCTCCAATGCTGCAGAAGCTGCTTCACCCCACGTTGTTTCGGGTTTCCTGGAAGGTGATCCAGTCACCGTACCGTGTACAACGCGAGGGCGTCGAGTTGGTCTGTATCAGCTGATCGGTAGTGAACCCTCATCTCCAGAGCTACAACTCTAACTATTTACCTTCTCATGCTCCTGAAGAATGTCGGCTTGGCATTGATTTCGTCTCTGATCTCAAATGGTGGACAGTACAAGTCTGAAGGACAATCGCCACTTGGCCCGTTGATGTTTGCAGCAGAAGATCCGTCAGAGCCCAGACTTTCAGGTATACGATTCACAGCAATGGGAAATTTGGGATCAATCTGAAGAAAAAAAACGTAGTAATGCAACAGAAATAACGTTATTACGCGGGGCTCACTCGTTGGGGACCCTCACATAGGGGTGTAACTGGTCGCTGCAGAGAGGGGGGGGTCGTCTATGCCTTTGAAAGTTGACCTTTCGGTCGTTGAGTTTCTCGGTTTCCTCTGCGTTGGCGCACTATGTACCTCGCTGCCCAATTCTGCGTACCCGCTCGACCTCGCTTTTTAAAAGAACAAGTGGAGCAATTTTAGGAAGAAACTCCCGAAAATTGGCTGAAAATGGGGATGTGGAAAGTATCGGTCGTACAAAAGAAGACAGTCTCGGTGGATCTACCTCCCAGACATCGTTCCCAACAGCAGGGCGTGCCCGGATATAACACTCCACCAAACTTACCTCGTGAACTAAACGAGACAACTCGGGATCCTTTTGACACGTCATTCAGCCATCGGGCCTCCTCTATCGCAGCCAATGTAAGGCGAAGCGAATACATATACATATTTGACTGAAAGCTTACAATGAAACCCTAGGAAGTTCAAGAGAAAGAAGAAAACGGACCTCCTCCAAATCCTTTGATACATTAGCATCACGCAGACGTAGAGCAATAAACTCCCGCTCCATTTCCTTCCAATATGGCTCCCGAGAGACAATTTCCGGTATAGGTTCCAATTCATTGGTAAAAGAGAGGTTATTTATCCATGCGTGCTAAAAAAAGCTAACTGAGGCAAATATTTTCAGAGCCGACTGGCACACCTTGGACGACTGCACTTACTACAATAAGTCAGTCAATCTATAGAACCTCGAAGTAACGAGGCAGCATGGCAAAATGAGGGTGTTGAAAAAGGAAAAAGCCTCACAAACCGCAAACTTTTTGAGAAAGCTGAAGGCAACATATCACACGCATATGGAAAGGGATCCCGAAATCGGAAGGAAAAT